CCTCGTCTCCTTCTCCTCGTCTCCCCCTCCTCGTCTCCTCCTCCTCCTGCTCCTGCTCCTGCTCCTCCGCCTGCTCCTCCTCCTCCTCCTGCTCTCCCCTGCTCCTCCTCCTCCTCCTCCTCCTCCTCCTCCTCTCCTCCTCCTCCTCCTCCTCCTCCTCCTCCTCCTCCTCCTCCTCCTCCTCCTCTCCTCCTCCTCCTCCTCCTCCTCCTCCTCCTCCTCCTCCTCTCCTCCTCCTCCTCCTCCTCCTCCTCCTCCTCCTCCTCCTCCTCCTCCCTCCTCTCTCCCTCCTCCTCCTCCTCCTCCTCCCTCCTCCTCCTCCTCCCCCTCTCCCCCTCCCCCTCCTCCTCCTCCTCCTCCCACGCGGATCTTCGACGCTTGAGGCCCGCCCGCCTTGCCTTCGACATGGATTTGGCAGCGGGCCCAGGGGGCAACTGAGAAGGGGCGGGCCTTCTCGATGGGCTCGGAAGGCCTCTGGCCTCCTGAGAAGTCCCAGCAGCCACCTGGGCTAAGGTGGTCTTTCTGCGGTGGACAAACATCCCTTTAGTAAACCACCCTACAGTGAAAACAGCCTGGGACCGAAACCGACGGACCTGGACCCGCATAAATGACGGCCGCGACGCCCTCTCGCGAACCGAGAACGGCCAATTCGCTAATCGGCGTGTCGGGGTAGGAGGTCTGTCCAGCCCCGAGTCTTGGGGGGGGTGATCCGCAGGAGTCGGAGCGTCCGAGATAGCCCCGGATGGCTCCAAGAGGGCCTCCGGCGCTCCAGAATGTCCTCCGAGGCGGCTCGAGACAGCCGAAGATGGTTCGACGCAGCTTCCAACATGGCTCCAAAGAGGCCCGACGAGGGCTACAAGACGGCTTCGAGTGCTCTCGGATCCCCCTCTGGACACCGCAGCAGGCCAAATTCATGATTGGTCTCCTCGCTGTTTCGCGTCCGATGCGCTTTTGAGGCCTCAAGATTGCCCCAAGATGGCTCAAGAGAGCCCCTAGAGGGGCCCAAGAGGCCCCCAAAACGGCCCCAAGAGCGCCCAAGATCGGCCCAGGAGCATCCCAAGAGCAAGAGGCGCTTGTGATGGCCTCCAAGATGGCCCCAAGAGAGGGCCCCAACACCCCCTTAAAGAGTCCCAAGAAGACCCCAAGATCGCCCAAAAGAGTCCAAAGAGGGCTCCAAGAGGCGATTTGGGGGGCTCTGTCCTCGTCCTCGTTGTCCTCCTCCTCCTCGTCCTCGTCACCGTCCTCGTCCTTGCCCTCATCGTCTTCTGGTTCCTTTTCCTCCTCTTCCTCGTCCTCCTCCTCCTCGTCCTCCTCCTCGTCGTCGTTGTCGTGGTCGTCCTCGTCGTCGTCGTCGCCGTCGTCCTCATCGTCGTCGTCATCGTAATTGTCGTGTCGCCCCCACGCGGGCCCTGGGGATGGCCCGAAGAGGCCCTCCAAGACCAACCCCTGCTCATCCCACAGATCTCTCTGTTCACCCTGGTTGCGTGCTTTGTTGCACGATACGCAAGCGTGAAGAATGTTCTATGGCCCTGGGACACACAAATAAATAGACACAAGTTCGCCGGCCCAACAGGCCAGAGGCGTGCTAAGATCTCCGGTATCTGGTTCACAATAGTTCTAGTTCGCGCGCGCGGGGCGGCCCCTGGGGGTCCCCGGACGAAAAGTACCCTGGCAAGGTCCCGGGAGAAGCCCCCAGAGCGCTCCAGGAGCGCACCAACAGGGCCCCGAGACGTCCCGAGAGTCCCAAAGAGAGGTTCCCAAGAAGAGCCAAGAGCGCCCAAGAGGCCCCCAAGATGGTACACCAAGGGTCCGAGATGCCACAAGATCGCTCCAAGACGCTCAAGATAGCCCCCAGACGCCCCACGAGGCTTTCAAGAGCACTCCCAAGAGGACCCCAAGAGGCAAAATTCATTGCTTTTCCCTTAGGTTTTGGGAAGATTTTGGCGTTTCCACCTTTTGGGCATCGCGACGCCCCAAGATGGCCCAAGAGGCCCCCAAGATCGCCCTAAGAGGCCCGAGAGGCCTCCGATAGGGCCCCAAGACGGCCCAAGAGGGCTCCAAGACGGCCCAAGAGGCCTCCAAGACGGCCCAAGAGGGCCCCAATAACGCTCGAAGAGAAGCCCCAGAGGGGGAACACGAAACAACATTTCGAGCCCTCGGCCTTAAGAGGCCCCTAAGAAGCCCCAGGAGGCCCCCAAAAGGCTCTCACGAGGCCCCCAAGAAGCTCCCAAGCGGCTCCCAAGCGGCTCCAGGAGGCCCCCCAAACGCCCCCCCCCGACCACGCTAGCAAGTGCCAGCGATGCTACAAGATACGGGCCGGCGGAAAGAGCGAAGCGATTAAATAACAGGATTACCCCAAAAAACTGATTTTCTGGAATTGTGTCTTCCCCCCACTTCCCATATTTTCCCAGGAATCGACGATTCATTGTGTCTGTGTGTTTTTCCCCTCCTGAATGTAAGCGTGAAGGATGTTCTAACCCTTCCTCGAAGACACACACAACAGGACTTTTCGGAGGGCGCGAGCGCTTCTGCGAAGCCCCGCCGCCTTCTGAGAGAGCCAACCCCTTCGCGCTCCCCCCCCCAAGGCGCGCCGCCGCCGGACGGGCCGGGAACGTGACATGCCGAGAAAAACACACAGCAACTCTTTCGCGCCCTGGCAGGGCACGCGAGGATCCCGGCGGTGAGCGGAGCAGGGCCCAGAGCCTGATCGAGCGCGGGGCTACCCCAGAATCTTCTGGAACCTTGGCCGGGCGCCACTCTCTCCCTTCTGCGTCATCCGCCCCCCATCCCTTGCTGCTCCCCTCCCGCCGCCTCCTCCTCCTGCTCCTGCTCCTGCTCCTACTCCCCCTCCCCCAACCCCAACCTCATCCCCCCATCTCCCTCCCCCTCCCCCTTCCCTTGCTCCGTGTTCTTCCACGTCATCATCACCCTCGCCCTCCTCCTCCTCCTCCTCATCATCATCCTCATCATCATCATCATCAGCAGCATCAGCATCAGCATCATCATTATCATCATCAGAGTCATCATCATCAGCATCATGATCCTCCTGTTGCTCCTCATCCTCCCCCTCCTCCTCCTCTTCCTCCTTTTCCTCGTCCTCCTCTTCTTCTTATGGTTCACATGAGTTGTCTTATTGTTAGTATGTTTAATATAATGTTTACTCGTATTCTTAGCGGCGTTATAACTATCAGTGTTGCGATCAGTATTCGTACTATTGTCCTGCGTCTCAGTATTATTATTCCCAACATCCTGTGGTGTTGGGTCCTCGTTTTGAAGAGACGTCGCCCCGCGTTCCTCTCCTCCTCCTCCTCCTCCTCTCCTCCTCCTCCTCCTCCTCCTCCCTCCTCCTTCTCCTCCTCCTCATCCTCCTCCTCCTCCTCCTCCTCCTCCGCCTCGTCCTCCGATCATTTCGGCACACCCCTCACACGTTTCGTGGCCCCATAGGGAGCTCCACCGAAGGCCCCAGTGCCACCGCCCGCATGCTTCCCCCACACCCAGTTCGGCACACCCCTCACACGTTTCGTGGCCCCATAGGGAGCTCCACCGAAGGCCCCAGTGCCACCGCCCGCATGCGTCACCCACACACCCATTTCGGCACATCTCTCACACGCTTCGTGGCCCCATAGGGAGCTCCACCGAAGGCCCCAGTGCCACCGCCCGCATGCGTCACCCACACACATTTCGGCACCCCCCTCACACGCTTCGTGGCCCCATAGGGAGCTCCACCGAAGGCCCCAGTGCCACCGCCCGCATGCTCCCCCCACACCCATTTCGGCACACCCCTCACACGTTTCGTGGCCCCATAGAGTTCCACCAAAGGCCCAAATGCCACCGCCCGCATGCGTCCCCCACACCCATTTCGGCACACCCCTCACACGTTTCGTGGCCCCAGCCCCAGTGCCACCGCCCGCAAGCGCCCCCCCTCACACGTTTCGTGGCCCCATAGAGAGTTCCACCGAAGGCCCCAGTGCCACCGCCCGCATGCGTCCCTCACGCCCGTTTCAGCAGCCCTGCCTCGGCAGCCAGCGCAGCCGACGTGCGTCATCCTCACTCATGGACAATCTGGAGTTCCCACTGGGCAATCTCCGCGAGCCGCAGAGGCCGTCTGCCTTGGCCTCTGGCCAGTCCATCTCTGCCGTCAATGTTTTCACCTGATCCTGCATGGCATGCAACGCACTGGAAGACTGCCATCGTTATCATCAACATAATCATCAGCAGCAACAGCATCAGCATCAGCAGCATCGTCATACTCATACTGGTCAACCTCAGCATCATCATCATCATCATCATCATAATCATCATCATCATCATCATCATCATCATCATCAGCATCATCATCATCATCATCATCATCATCATCATCATCATCATCATCATCATCATCATCATCATCATCATCATCATCATCATCATCATCATCATCATCATCATCATCATCATCATCATCATCATCATCATCATCATCATCATCATCATCATCATCATCATCATCATCATCATCATCATCATCAGCATCATCAGCATCATCATCATCATCATCATCATCATCATCAGCATCAGCATCATCATCATCATCATCATCATCATCATCATCATTATCAGCATCACCATCATCATCATCATCATCATCATCATCATCATCATCATCATCATCATCATCTCGAACAATTATTCGACAAGATGATACCAGCCAGGCCACAGCAGTGCTTCGCAGAGATGATACCAGCCAATCTAGAGCAGTGATTCGCAGAGATGCTACCAGCCAGCCCAGTCGCAGCGTATTGTTCGTTCGAGACGAAGGCCTTCCAGCTAGCAGCAGTGCAGAAACAGAAACTAGTTCTTAGACCCTCCCTGCTAGCAACAGCAGAGCGTCTGTCTCTCATATCACCCCTCCTCCTCCTGTGCCTGTGTGCCAGCGCACGCAGAGGACGAGGTTTTACACGAGGTGGAGGCCCCACCCAGTTTCGACAGAGTCGCAGAGGATGAAGCAGCAGAGTTTATGTTCAGCTGACGCTGTCTAATCCCGATGTTGCTAGGCACGCGCTGTGCAGGCAGCCCCCCTGCGAGGCACCCTAGACGACTGGCCCGATGCGGGGCAATGCAAGACTCGTTGAGGCTCTCTGCGACGGACCCCCATGTTGCCATCTTATATGTGTACGCCCTTGTTTTGCCGTTGGTCATGACGTCGAGGAATAATCATCATCATCATCATCATCATCATCATCATCATCATCATCATCAGCATCAGCATCAGCATCATCATCATCATCATCATCACCATCAGCATCATCATCATAATCATCATCAGCAGCATCATCATAATCAGCATCACCATAATCATCATAATTATCATCGTCATCATCCTCATTATCATCATCATCATCATCATCATCATCAGCAGCATCATCATCAGCATCATCATCATCATCATCAGCATCATCATCAGCATCATCATCTGCATCATCATCATGATCAGCATCAGCAGCAGCATCGTCATCATGATCGACATCATCATCATTATCACCAGCATCATCACCATAATCAGAATCAACATCATCACAGCTTCATGATCATCATCGTAAGCATCTTCATCATCCTCATCATCAGCATCATACATCATCATCATCGGCATCGGCACCGGCTTCGGCACCAACATCATCCATATCATCAACAGCACCATCAGCAACAGCATCAGCAGCATCATTCTCATCATCATCCACATCCTCAACATCATCGTCATCATCAGTATCATCATCCTCCTCCGCATCATCATCACGATCATATCCTCACCATCAGCAGCATCATCATCACCGTCATCATCATTGTCATCGTCATCGTCATCATCAGCAGCATCATCACTCCTGCCTCTTGCTCCCCCCACTCCTGTCTAGGAGGAGATCCTCGTAGATCTGAACGGTGCAGTCGCTGCTGCAGCTGATGAGCAGGGGGTGACAAACTCGATGGCTGGTCTGCGACGCAGCGCCCTGAGAGGGTGCAGCGTCGGTATCGGGAGAGGAAGGGGAGGGGACAGCGGCTGGTCCCACGAGGACGATTCCTGCTTCAACTCGCGAGATAAGTCGATCCAACGTTCATGCAAACGCCAGCTGAGGGATGGTGTAGCTGGTGGCTGTCAGCTGCCCCCATGCCAGTGACAACTAGCCAGAAGAAAACTAGCCAATTGGATTTTGAGATGCGCGTCGCGCAGACGAAAGGAGGCGAGACGCGCGAGAGGCGGAATGTGCTATTTCATCCGAAGCCTGGGACGGGGCACGTCATGGACGCCATCACAAACATCGCAGCAAGCATGGTAAAGACGACGGTGACGAGCATTTGCACAGCACAAGCTCTGATCAGCAACACGTTGCCCATCCAGGTGATAGGCACGCTTATCTTCATGATGATGTGAATCGCGTTGCTGATCAGGCTGATGCTCATGATTGTGCTGATCGCGATGGCGAGGATGACGATGATTCCGTTATGATGATGACGCGTCACGCCGCTAATTCACGATACGCCTATTTCAAAACTAGAACGTGACCAAAAACGGTCTTGGAGCGTCGTGGGCGGCTCCCCTCTGGAGCCGCCTTGACGGCGGCCTGGAGCGCCTCTTGACTCTTGAACCGTATGGGAGCCCTGGAAGCCCCAAAAAACACGAATGCAAAAATACCCCAAAAAACCGTCGGATCACAACTGAAATTGGCCTCTTGGGGCACGCGTCGGGGTCCTGCTTGAATCTTTCTGGGCCGTCAGGGCCCCTGGAGGCCGTCTTCGAAGGAGCTGGGAGCAATGATGGGCCGTCGGGACGGCTGTCGGATCGCTCTTGGACCTGTTTGGCTGCCCTCCAACAGCTGGACTGGCCCTGAGGCGCCCCGAAAAGAATCGAGACCCCGCCTGGACAAAAAAGGCGAGACGAGGGGGACGGGGGGGGGACAGTGCGCCAGCCCAGGGTCTGGAGTCTCAGGGAGCCTCTTGGGGCGCCCTGGCGATATGTTGGCCGTCTTGAGCTCGATCCGTGCTGTCCTGGAGCCCTCTTGGGGCCTTCCGGAAGCTGGAGTCTGGAGGCTGCCTTGTCACGCCCTGGGGCCGTTTCGGAAATTCGAAGGCCGCCCGGGGAGCCTCCGGGGAGGCGGAAGCCGCTCTGTGCAAGCGGGCACCCCCCCTTCTGGTGCCCGGGGGTTGGGATGTCTTTTGTAAGTAAATACGTACATACGCAGGGAGTTACATGTATGTGTATATGTGTGCACAGTTGTACACATGTACATATACACATACGTATACATGTATGTGTATAGACGCATCATGTGCATGTATGTGTGAATGTGTGTATGTCTGTATGTATGAGTGCATGTGAATATGTGTATGTGTATGTGTGTATGCATGTGCGTATGTACCAATGTTTGTATGGACGCATGCATGCATGTATGCGTGTACGTGTAGATGCATGTATGTGTGAAGACATGCAAGCGCATGAATGTGCGTGCGTGTGTATGTTTGTACGCGCGCACAACTGCGTGAGCGGACGTTGCAAGTATGTACGTGAACGCACGTGCGCGCGTGCCTGGCGTTACGTATGTGCGTGTATGTACGTGCGTCTGCAACTATGTGTGCGCGCACGTTCGCGTGTCTGTACGGATAGTCAACGATACACACACGCAACCAAGCAAACATGCACACATGCACACATACACGAATGCACGCACACAATCAAACATTCAGACACACACACACACGTGTGTATATATATATATGCGTATACACATAAACACACACGTACACACATACATGCACATACACATACACATACACATACACGTACACATACACATACACCTACACATACACATACATACATACATGCATGCATGCATACATACATACATACATGCGTGCATACATACATACATACATGCATGCATGCATGCATACATACATACATACATACATACATACATACATACATACATACATACATACATATATGCATACATACACACACATACGTACGTACGTACGTACGTACATGCATTAATACATACATACATACATGTATACATACATACATACATACATACATACATACATACATACATACATACATACATACATACATACACGCATATACATGTGCACATACATGCATACACACGCACGTACGGATATACAGACATGCTTACATACATACATGCATACACGCGTAAGAAGAAAAAGAGAGGTTGGAGGGCGGAGGAACAGGTGGAGATGGAAGAACCAGGGATAGCAGGGGCTAAAACGGTGGAGAGGGCGAGGGTGAGGGAGAACATGAGTTTCAAGCGGGCGAGAACTGTGAGAGGACCGAGCGGAGGAGAAAAACGAGGCTGCGGAGCAGGACGCGTAGGAGGAGGCAGGGAAGGCGACTAGGAGGAGGGAACACGGCAGGCTGAGTCGCAGGAGCAGCTGGCGCCGCCGCGAAGCGCGAGCGCTTGACTCGAAGGACGGCTGCAGCCAAGAGGGTCAGAGGCCTGGCCTGATTAGAAAGATGTGTGCGTATCTCGGGAAACCTCGGAGACTCCCGTAGTAAATATGTTGAATACTCTTTGTGCCCTGTTCGGGCTTGTCTGGGCGCTTTGGGAGATTTTTGTACGGGCTGCTTGGGAGCCTCTTGGGGCCTCTGGGAACCCTCCTCTCCTGGGTCCCGCTGGCCGTCTAAGGGACTCAGGAAATCTTGAAGCCTTCTGGAGGCCTTTTGGGCCGTCTTGGAGCTCTATGTGGCCGTCTTCGGACTCTCTCGTGGGCTTCCTCGGCCGTCTTGGGGCGGTTTGGGGGGCCGTCGAGGGCGCTGTGGAAGCCCAGAAACTATACTGAACATGTATGTTTTCCTTCGGAAATGGGACGATGTGGGTTTTCTGGGGCCCTCTGGGGGGGGCCTCACGGACCCCTCCTTGGGCGTCTTGGGGGGCTCCTGGCTCTTCTTGAAGCCATCTTGGCGCGTTTTGGAGCGCTCGCGGAGCGTCTGGGGCGGTTTCGAGCCAGTCCTGGCGGACTTTGGAACCGTCCGAAAATCTCCCGGGCCTTACCCCGGGGCCCCCATGCCACGCCGTGACCGTGGTTCTGGGCCCGCCCCCGTGCTTCTCCGACATGCAAATAAAACATATATATATATATACACATATGTATATATACACACATGCATGCATGCGTGCATGCATGCATGCCTGCCTGCCTACCTACCTACCTACGTACATGCATGAATGCATGCATACATACATATACGCATGTATGCATGCATGCCTGCCTGCCAACCTACCTACCTACCTACATACATGCATGCATGCATGCATGCCTACCTACCTACCTACCTACATACCTACATGCATACATACATACATGCATGCATGCATGCATGCCTACCTACCTACCGACCTACCTACCTACATCCATGCATGCAAATATACATACATGCATGCATGCATGCATGCATGCATACCTACCTACCTACCTACCTACCTACCTACCTACAACCATACATGCATACATGCGTACATGCATCCATGAATATAAATATATGTATATATATATATATATACATACATACCTACAAACATGCATGCATACATACACACATGCATACATACATACAGACATACATACATACATACAGACAGACAGACATACATACATACCTACATACCTACAGATACACATACACACATACACACATACACACATACACATACATACATACATACATGCATACACACACATACACACACATACATACATACATACATACATACATACATACATACATACATACACACATACACACATACACACATACACACATACACACATACACACATACATACATACATACATACATACATACATACATACATACATACACACATACATGCATACATACATACCTACATACATACATATATGCGTATCTGCATACATACATACATGCATACATACATGCATACATGCATACATATATACATGCATACTCAATTATATGCACACATACATTCTCACACGCATGCATGCATTACATCTATTACATACACTACATACATAGATACATGCATACATACAGACAGACAGACAGGCGGACGAACCGACTGACAGAGAGACAGACAGACAGACAAACTTACGTACGTACGTACGCACACGCATACATACATACATACATACATACATACATACATACACCAACACATACATACATACATACATACATACATACATACATACATACATACATACATACATACATACATACATTACATACATACATACATACATACATACATACATACATACATACATACATACATACACATACAGACAGACAGACAGACAGACAGACAGACAGACAGACAGACAAACATACGACGGAGTTCAGCGCGTTCCACGAGGCGTTTGCTTCGGGAACATTCGGCGGCGCGTTTCGAAACGGGGGGTGGGCCTACCCTCCCGAACACTCGGCGCCGTCGATCAGAACCAGGGGGACTCCCCTCCCCCTAACAACCCCCCCTCCCTCCCGCCCCCCCCCCCTCCCCAGCGCCGGCGCTGGCGGCCGCCAAACCCCCCCTTTGCGCCAGCGACGGCGCCGGCGCTGGCGGCGGCCAGCAGCGCCGACGGCGGGGACGCAGCGGCGATGACAAGGGAGGGCCCAGGAAGCCGCAGAGGGAACACACAAATCACCATATCGATCCCTCGCCCCCCAAAAGCCACCGAGAGGCCCTTAGAAGGTCCACGAGGCTTCAAACATGCTCCTCAGACGCCCCCCTAAGACCCTTCTGACGAGACCTCAAAGAGGCATCCATTAGAACTCGGACTCAAAGCCAAAACACGGTGGCGAGAAGAGCCGTTGGCCACACCACCACAACCCACCACCGCCACCCCAAACCACCACACCACCACCACCACCGCCACCATCACCACCACCACCAGAACCACCACCACAACTCACCACCACCACCACAACCACCACCATCAGCACAAATCACCAAACCACAACCACCAAAAACGCCATCACCACCAGCACCACCACCACCACCACCACAACCCACCACAACCACCACCACCACCACAACCACAAACCACAACACCATTACCACCACCACCGCCACAACAACAACCATCACCCACAACCCACCACCACCACCACAAACCACCACACCACCACCACAACCACAACCACCACCAACACCACCCACCACCCACCATCCACCACCACCACCAGCACCACTACCAGCAGAAACACCACCACCACCAGCACCACAGCCCGCCACCACCACCACCACCACCACAAGACACCACGTCACCGCCACCACCACCTCCACCACCACTATTACCACCTTCTAACCACCTCAACGCACCACCACCACCAAACTACCACACGACCACCACACAACCACCACCACCACCACAGCCACCACCACCACAACAACAACCCACCACCAGCACCTTAACAACAACCCACCACCACCACCACAATCTACATCACTACCACCACCACCGCCACAACCACCACCACCACTACCAGCAGCACAACCCACCACCACCACCAGCACCACCTCCAAAAACCACCACACCACCACCACCACCACACCAGCACCACCCACCACCACCACCAGCACCACCTTCAAACACCACCGCCACCACCACCACCGCCACCACCACCACCACAAACCACCACACCACAACCACCACCACCACCGCCACCACCAGCACCACCACAACCACCACCACAACCCACCACCACAACAACCCACCACCACCACCACCACCACAAGCCAACACTACACCACCACCAAACCACCACCACCACCACAGCACCACTGACCACCACAACCACCACCAACCCAAGAAACAACCACACCACAACCACCACCACAATCACCACCACAATCGCCACCACCACCACCATAACCCACCACCACCACAAATGACCACAAATCACCACAACCCACCACAACCACCACTACCACCACCACCATCACAACCACCACCACCACAACACACCACCACCACCACCACAACCACCACCACCGCCACCACCACCACCACCACCACAACAACCCACCACCACCACAACCACAACCACCACCACAACCACCACGACAAACCACCACACCACCGCCGCTACTACTGAGACCACCACCTCAACCCACCATCACCACAACTACCACCACCAGAAACCACCGCACCACCACCACCACCGCCACCACCACCACCACAACCTGCCACCACAACCACCACAACAACCACCACCAGCAACAACAACCACCACAACAACCACCACCGCCACAACCACCACCACCACCACCACCACAGCCCATCACCACCACCACCGCCGCAGAGGCCCCAAGAGGCGTCCAAGAGGCGGCCAGGAGGCTTCACAAATGCCCTTCAGGCCCCCGAAAGCCCTCCGACGAGACCCCAAGAGGCATCCAATAGGACTCTGACCCAAAACCAAGGCACGTTGGTGGAGCGTCGTCGTCGTCATCGTCGTCGCCGTCATCCTCGTCGCCGCTCGCCGCCGCCGCCCGCTGCCGCAGGCGCTGGCGCCGGCCCAGAAAAGGAAGTCGTCGTCCCCGCCGACGCCGGCGCCAGCCCGAGGAGAGGGAGAGATGAACAGTAAGGGAGGGAGTCTGGCGACCACAGAAAGCGCTCTTTGATACATACAGACATACATACATGCATACATGCATACATACATACATACACGCATACACACGTACATAGAAACCTCGATGCGTATAGCAACAATAGTATCACGACCGATAAGACATAATGATAACAGTACGACTAGCAGCCATAAAAAGTTATAAGACTGTTAATCAGGATAACGATCATCACACTAATAACCATAATAATAACGACAATCGTAATCGCAACAATACTGATAAGTATATACATACATAAAACCATCAATGCACATAATGATAGCAAGAGTACGAATAATGATAACCATAAACGTCACATGGCAATAACCACGGCAATGAGACTAATAGTGGTAAGAACAAAAATAATGGCCTGTTTTTCTTGAAAAATGCTGACAGGAAGAAGAAGTAGCATCATCATCAGCATCATAATCATGAGCACAACCACAATCGTAAAACGAATACGACATTGTTAAACAAACAAATCACACTAGCCAAACTAGAGTCACATACAACTTATCCGCCGGCCCCCTTGTGGGGCCAACAGGCTGTAGGCCGAAGGTTCGCAGTTTCCTATACCAGTTGCAGCTTCCAGTTACCACTGTTACAGTTCTGCTTCTTGCTGCTGACTGTTCCTTGTTGATGGACCGCGCGAGGGGGGGGAGGCCCACACGGGCAGGTTTAGCACGCCCTGAGCGTGTTGTCTTGCTGGGGTGGGTAAAAATTATCACCCCTCACGCAGATCGGCGGGGTCAGGGTCCAAACACACACACACACACACACACACACACACACACACACACACACACACACAGGATTTGCCACATTTCTGAAATTCGGTTGCACCCCTCACGCAGATCGGCGGGGTCAGGGTCCAAAAACATACAGGATTTGCCACATTTCTGAAATTCGGTGGCTCCCCTCACGCAGATCGGCGGGGTCAGGGTCAAAAAACATATAGGATTTGTAAGATGTCTGACATTCGATGGCACCCCTCATGCATATCGGCGGGGTCAGGGTCCAAAAACAAACGGGATTTGCCACATTTCTGAAATTCCGTAACACCCCTCACACAGATCGGCGGGGTCAGGGTCCAAAAACACATGGGATTTGCCACATTTCTGAAATTCGGTGGCACCCTTTGTGTAGATCGGCGGGGTCAGGGTCAAAAAACACACGGGATTTGCCACATGATCTAAAGATCGATGGCACCCCTCATGCAAATCGGCGGGGTCAGGGTCCAAAAACAAACGGGATTTGCTACATTTCTGAAATTCGGTTGCACCCCTCACGCAGATCGACAGGGTCAGGGTCCAAAAACAAACGGGATTTGCCACATGTTTTCAAATTCGGTGGCACCCCTCACGCAGATCGGCAGTGTCAGGGTTCAAAAAAAAACACTGGATTTGCCACATTTCTGAAATTCGGTGGCACCCCTCACGCAGATCGGCGGGGTCAGGGTCCAAAAACACATGGGATTTACCACATTTCTGAAATTCGGTGGCACACGCGACGCAGATCCGTAGGGTCAGGGTCGAAAAAACAAACAGGTCCCGACACTGCTTCACGGCGGCGCCCAGACCTCATGATTTAGCTTTTGCATCTCCCATTATCCGAGACAGGGGTCCGGCGGCATGGGGCGAAGCCCTTACGGATATAGACACAACACTGGGACCGAGGGGGATGGACGCATAAGATCCACATGAGCACGGAAGGTGAAGATGACCCTCCTCGAAGGTGTGCCAGCACAGGTCGTACACAAGGGTGTCGTGCAAGGTCTGGCGGCAGCGGAGAAGGTGGAGCGAGGAAGCACTTTGAAGGGCAGTCACGCCTACGTGCCTTTTTGTGCGGAACGGCATATATAGAGAGAGAGGGAGATCACCACAAAAAGACACCACTCAACATCATGAGCGCCTCTCTTCCGAGCTAGAAGGAACATGCACGATGGTGGAGCATTGGTGGGCGACGCAGAAGCAGGGGTGGCAGCGAGGGCAGACTTCGTGGCTTTGTGATGCGAGGGTCGGGCGCCTCCTCCCATCTCGTCATCCCTTCTTTCTTCGGCATGGGAAACAATTACCGAACACCCCCCTCCCCCCAGTGAACAGTGGGGTGAGGGGGAGGCGTTGACAGATGAATGTGGCATGAGCGTTCGCTATTATGTTTCCAAGGCATGGTCCCCTCCTCCTCCTCAGGTTCACCCTAGAAGCAGGAGGAGCAAAACAACTGCAGCGCTCGTGCACCACGGAGAAAGCGGACATGCACGGGAAAAGGGAGACAAGAAGCCCGAGGAACCGCGCAGCTCCACCTGGGAGACTCCTCCTCCTCCCCCTCCTCCTCCTCCCCCTCCTCCTCCTCCTCCTCCCCCTCCTCCTCCTCCTCCTCGTTTCCTGCCCTGCGCCCGGTTTCTTGAAACGGGCAGAGAAAAACGACGAGAGGGGGGGCGGCCACCGGGCGCGGTGGTGGTCAATCGCCCAGGTGCGGGGAAGGGAGGCTTTGGCATCCTTAGGGCTGGGCTCCTCAACACACGGAGCGGATTCGAACTCCGCCACCGTGGCCCCCTGGCACGTTGAGGCGTGGAAGAATGCCAGCGTCTGTCTGGCAGGGTTTGCTGGATTCCACCAAGGGGCCGCACCTCCCTCTGACAGCTGACTCGTGCGTGCAGTTCCCCTCCTTTCCGAGGCCACTTCTCTCGTGCCCGCTCGAGGATGGTGCACTTCTCGCATGGCAACTAACGCCTGAACCCCCTTCGACGCGTGCCCGCTCGAGGCGGGTACACTTCCCTGCAACGTGTATCCCGTGCAGCCCCTAAGGCAGGGGTGTATCTTTCTTACCCCTGCAACGTGTATTCCGTGCTGCCCCTAAGGCAGGGAAAGAGATGACGGATGGAAGGAAGGGGCAAGGGTGAGGGAGGAGCATGGAGCACGAGACAGAGTAGCAGGAGGGGGGCTAGGAGCCGAAAAAACGTGGCAAAACCAGATGGGCAGATCGGGCGGGTAAACCCTAACGAGCGGGTCGGGAAGGCTGGCCCAGGCGGCCGGGTCGAGCAGGCGGGTTGCTGAAGTGTGCACCCTGCATTAATAGCGCGATTATCATCGTGATGAAATCCACAGCGAGAGTCAGTCCTGAGTGCCGAGGGCGCGGCATCTAAATTCGCCGGCCCAACGGGCCAGAGGCGTGCTAAGATCTCCGGTAACTGGTTCACAGTATGTCTAGTTCGCGCGCGCGCGGAGCGGCCCCTGGGGGTCCCCGGACGAAAAGTACCCCGGCAAGGTCCCAGGAGAAGCCCCCAGAGCGCTCCAGGAGCGCACCAACAGGGCCCGAAGACGTCCCCGTGAGTCCCAAGAAGGGCCAAGAGAGGTTCCCAAGAAGAGCCAAGAGCGCCCAAGAAGCCCCCAAGATGGTACACCAAGGGTCCGAGATGCCACAAGATCGCTCCAAGACGCTCAAGATAGCCCCCAGACGCCCTACGAGGCTTTCAAGAGCACTCCCAAGAGGGCCCCAAGAGGCACAAATCATGTCATTTCCTTAGGTTTTGGGGAGATGTTGGCGTTTCCACCTTTTCGGCATCGCGACGCCCCAAGACGGTCCAAGAGGCCCCCAAGATCGCCCTAAGAGGCCCGAGAGGCCTCTGACAGGAGCCCCAAGACGGCCCAAGAGGGTTCCAAGACGGCCCAAGGAGGCCTCCAAGACGGCCCAAGAGGGCCCCAAGAACGCTCTAAGAAAAGCCCCAGAGGGGGAACACGAAACAACATTTCGAGCCCTCGGCCCTAAGAAGCCCCCAGGAGGCGCCAAGAGGCCCCTAAGAAGCCCCAGGAGGCACCCAAAAGGCCCTCACGAGGCCCCCAAGAAGCTCCCAAACAGCTCCCAAGCGGCTCCAGGAGGCCCCCCAAATGCCTTCCCGACCACGCTAGCAAGAGCCAGCGATGCTACAATATGGGCAGCGAGCACAAAGAAGTTCTGGGAAACTTCTGCGCAGCGCTCCGTCTACCCCCCTCAGGCACTCCTCCTCCTTCTCCTCCTCCTCATCCTCCTCCTCCCGATCCCCTCCTCCACTCCTCGATGGAGCGGTCCATCGCCGGGTGGGAGTTGCATTAGGCGCCGCGGGCTTGCAGCGCAGCGCCCACAGGGTGAGACGGCCGCCTCTACGCTGCTGGGCCTCCGGAGGCCTCTGGAAAGCTTCACGCGGAGAGAGTTCGGGCTCCCGTGCCATCAAAAATCTGCCCGCCGGATGGAAGACCAGCCTCAGGATCAGATGCTCCTAAATGCTCCGTATGGAGCTCAAGGAAACCCCAAAGAGGCTCCAACAGAAACCAAAGAGGCCCCCAAGAAACCCCCAACGAGGACCCCAAAGGGCCCCCCAAAGCCCCAACGTCAGCGAGGGCACAATACGGGCCGGCGGAATGAGCGAAGCGATTCAATAAATCGCGGGGAAGTCCCACGCGAGACAGCGATTCCTATATGAATTGTAAGGAAGTCCCGCGCGAGAGCGCAATGTGGGAATAAATCGTAAGGGCGTATGAGGCAGCAGCCGTTGTTGTTGTAACTCGGGCGCCAGGAGCCCGATTTAGTCACACCCAACGTTCCATTGTAATAAACAGGGTGCGAGCCCCAAGAGAAGCACTTCGATTGAACATTACAATTGTCACCGAAGGGGGGATCAACAACAACTTGTCTTCAGGAATGAGAGCTCTACAACAACAACAGCAACAACAGCAACAGCAGCAGCAACAACAGCCGCAGCAGCAGCAGCAGCAGCACCGAACACATCAACAACAACAAGAACAACCTCAACCACAACAGCAACAACAACATCAGCAACAGAAGCAGCAGCAACACCAACAACAACATCGACAAGAACAACCACCACCACCGCCACCGCACCAACAGCAATAACCTCAACAGTCACAACAACGACAACGACAACGGCAACGGCAATGACAACAACATCAGAAGCAACCTCAGCATCCGCATCAGCATCATCATCATCAACATCATCATCAACATCACCATCAGCATAAGCAACGCCATCGTCAGTGTCAGTCGTCATCACCACCACAACAACCATCACCATCACCACCATCACCAATCAGCATCATCATCAGCATCATCATAATCAGCAACGTCAGCAGCCTCAACATCAGCATCATCATCACCAACATCACCATCATAATCATCATAAGCATCGTCGTCGTCATCAATCTAACAATCAGCACCATCACCCCCACCACCACAACCACCATCATCCATCATCATCAGCATCATCAGCAGCATCATCAATCATCATCGTGATCAGCATGATCATCATCATCAGCATCATCAGCTGCATCCTCAGCATAATCATCACCAGCATCACCAACATTATCATCAATCATCACATATCCGCATCACCGTCAGCATCATCAGCAACAGCATCATCACCACCGCCACCATCAATCACCATACGATGTGTAGAAGTAATAAAACTGATCAGAACAATAATAATATAAGCAATTAAACGAACATGATCGACCCACGAACCCGGAAAGGAATCTATAAATGTAACGCATGGCAACGTTTTCACAGACACCTGATTGGGTGACGGGCAAGTGCAATGCTGATTGTATCGATCTTGATGCACCGTGCCGAGGGCTGTGCTGTGCTGCACCGTGTTGAATTGCGATGTGCCATGCCGCGGTTGTGCTCTATAGCGTCGTGGATCGAGTCTTCCTTTGCATCCGAGTCCTGACCGAACTGATCTGGATCTTAAGCTAGAGCTGCCTGAATACATAGTAGCTGCCCCAGAGCTAATTGACAGGGGGACATGCCAGGAGGACGCGCCGCGAAACGTCCCAAGGGAAGCGCCAGGCGACGTGCCAGGGGACGTGCCATGGGGTCGCACCGTAGGACGTGCCAAGGGGACGCGCTACAGAACGCGCCAATGGATGTGCCACGGAATGTGCCAGGAAACGCGCCACGCGACGTGCCAGGGGGACTCGCCAAGGGACGCCCCACGGAACGTGCCAAGGAACGTGCCAGGTTGCAATGCTGATTGTATCGATCTTGATGTACCGTGCCGAAGTCTGTGCTGTGCTGCACCGTGCTGAATTGCGATGTGCCATGCCGCGGTTGTGCTCTATAGCGTCGTGGATCGAATCCTCCGTTGCATCCGAGTCCTGACCGAACTGATCTAGAGTTTAAGCTCGAGCTGCCTGAACACATAGTATCTGCCGCAGAGCTAATTAACAGGGGGACATGCTAGGAGGACGAGCCGCGGAACGTCTCAAGGGACGCGCCAGGCGACATGCCAGGGGACGTGCCATGGGGACGCACCGCGGGACGTGCCAAGGGGACGCGCTACGGAACGTGCTGGGGACAAGCGTTTCGCTCGAGACATCCTGTCAAAATCCTCATTCTAGACATCCGCCTGAGCGACCTGGACACGTGAAAACAAACGTTTCGCTCAACACATCCTCAACACATTCTCATTCTAGACATCCGCCTTGGCGACCTGTACACGTGAAAGCAAACGTCTCGCTCGAGACATCCTCAACACATCTTCATGTTTGACATCCGCCTGGGCGACCTGGACACGTGAAAACAAACGTAACTCTCGAGACATTCTCAACACATCCTCATGCTAGGCATCCGCCTGGGCAACCTGGACACGTGCAAACAAGCATCTCGATCGAGACTTCCTCAACACCTCCTCATTCTAGACATCCGCCTGGGCGACAAGGACGCGTGAAACCAAGTGTCTCGCTCGAGACATCCTCAACAAATCCTGGCGCGTGACTTCTGCCTGGGCAACCTGGAGGCGTGAAACCAAGCGTCTCGCTCGAGACATCCTCAAGACCTGGGCACGTGAAACCAAGCATCTCACTTTGAAGGATCCTCTAAAATTCTGGTCCCCAGGAGAATCTATAACACAAAACAAGCGTTTCGCTCGAGACATCCTCAACACATTCCGAACAACAAGCGTTTCGCTCGAGACATGCTCAATTTTTTAATTCGCCGACCCTACGCGACCTCGTTATTTATCGCAAAAGAAATTCGCCGGCCCTACAGCCGTCAGATCCTGGGGCAAACCCCTAAAAGAGAACCCTGGGCCTACGCCCTTTCCGGGAAAAATGATCAGCACCATCATCAGCAGTATCAACATCATCAGCATGATCAGCATAATCATCAGCAGCATCAGCATCAGCATCAGCATCAACAGCATCATCACAATCATCATCATCATCATCATCATCATCATCATCATCATCACCATCACCATCATCACCATCATCACCATCATCACCATCATCACCATCATCATCATCATCATCATCGTCATCATCATCACCATCATCATGATGGTGCGTCGTCATCGCCATCGTCATCGTCATCGTCACCATCAGTATTCCCATCACCCCGAGCATCCTCATAATCCTCATCGTACGCACCACGGCTCTCCCGAGCCTGTACTCGAGGCGTCACGCGTGGCGGCCTCCCGTGCCCCCCTCTCGAGCAGTCGCCACCCAGAATGCTCGGCTGGCACGGCGGCGGGGCCTGCCGCGGGAAGCTGGACCGCGCGGGGCGGGCAACGACCAGTCGCAGCTCACGGGAGGCACCACCAAGGCTGACTGGAAGATGGGGTTCAGGTCGGGCCTGTCCTCCTACAGGCGGATTTTGGGCGAAAGTGAAATACTCCAAAAACCATGGAAGAAATACAATTAAGATACCCAAACATTTGTCCGCTGACTTTTTTTATTATTTTTGCAGACTCCTCCTGTAGAGGGACAAGCCCGACTTCAGATCGGGTCCGCTAGGAAGAAGCGGGCAACAAACGACGCGATGCAGCAGGCACGCTGGCTGGGAGTGCCGTGCCAACAGCGTGCTGGCGGCCGGTGGCCATGTGGAACGTCCTTGGCGCGGATGCCAATGTGCAGAAAACAAGGCAGCGACACAACCCGTAGGTAAGACGAGGGAGAGAGAAAGAGAGAGAGAGAGAGAGAGAGCAAAGAGAGAGAGGCGGAGACAGACAGTCAGTCTGACAGACAGACAGACAGAAAGACATTGAGACTTACAAAAAGACAGAGAGACAAACAGACAGACAAACTGCGATACAGAGCGATGAACGATAAGAGAGCAATAGAGAGAGGAGGGAAGAATGAAGGACGGCGCGAACGACGGAAAAAGTGTGAGAGAGAGGGAGATATGACCACATCGGTGAGTTGCACTAAGAGGGCTGACAACACGATATGGATCGGCGAAACACGTGGTGCCCGCCGACAGTTCCCTGTCGCCTGGTGCAGAAAACAACATCGCCGGGGAAATTCCGGCGACGATATGGCTGAGAACATGATCGACCCACGAACCCGGAAAGGAATATAGAAATGTAACGCATGGCAGCGTTTTCAAAGACACCTGATTGGGTGACGGGCAAGTGCAATGCTGATTGTATCGATCTTGATGTACCGTGCCGAGGGCTGTGCTGTGCTGCACTGTGCTGAATTGCGATGTGCCATGCCGCGGTTGTGCTCTATAGCGTCGTGGATCGAGTCTTCCTTTGCATCCGAGTCCTGACCAAACTGATCTGGATCTGAAGCTCGAGCTGCCTGAACACATAGTAGCTGCACCAGAGGTAATTGACAGGGGGACATGCCAGGAGGACGCGCCGCGAAACGTCCCAAGGGACGCGCCAGGCGACGTGCCAAGACACGTGCCATGGGGTCGCACCGTAGGACGTGCCAAGGGGACGCGCTACGGGACATCCTCCAAATTCCTGCGCGCGGGACGCGGCACGCGCGAGACATCCTTGGAATTCCTACGAGCGGGACACAAAAACATCGCCTCCTGCACCTCCCCGCCGCTCGCCGGTGCGCCGGTTCGCCTGCGTCTCTTGGGAGCCATGAGTGTGACGGTGCAGCAAGCAGCGACGTACCCCACGTAAAGCAAGAAGTCCCACATCCTTACGACCGTCTGTTGGCGGTGAAGCGAGGAAAGCGCGAGCGGAGCGGTCTCGAGCCAAGGTGTGCTACGTCGTCGTCGTCGTCGCCGTCGTCGTCTCGAGCCGCGGCCGACAGCATGCCCTGCCGATTTCTCTCGCCTCGGAAGCTGAAACCGTCGAAGTCCTCCCGAAATCAGTTCCCGGCCCCCTCCAAGGGTCCAAACGCACAAGTTTTTGGAGCTGCGTCCAGCCGGGGCGACGAGGACGGCCCCCGAGGGCCAGAAAGCCTCAAGACTCGGACTCTGAAGTTCGAAGCTCGAACCTCGACGTGACCTCGGCCAGCTCCCCCCTCGGCCTGCCCCGGCGCTGCGGGGGCGGCCGCCCGAAAAACATGTCGGGAAGAAGGCGCAGCTCGAATGCAGGACTTGACACGTGTCTTCCTCCTCCTCCTCCTCCTCTTCTGCGTCCTCCTCCTCCTCCCATACATCTAACAGAACTCGCCTGAACGCACGTGTTGGAGCTGGCGTCGCAGGTATCGTGTGTACCCGAGTAAACAGATGTCCCACAAGCGCAAGGCACGGTCGTCGCTGCTGCCGTACCGTCGGTAGTGCTGCATGCTGCCTCGGGCGATCCCAAGGCCCTCTCGGACCGTCTTGGAGCTCTTTGGGGGCCCTGAGGGAACTCTTTGGGGGCCGTGTGGACCTGGGAAGCCTAATCTATAGGCACATACGTAAGAACACACGGATTCGCTGGGGGCCTGGATTACGCTGGATCGTCGTCGTCGTCGCCGCCGCCGCCACCGCGACGTCGTCGTCGTCGCGCTGTCCTCGATCCCTCGATCGTGTAAGCGTGGGCTCTACAGACCCCCAAGAGACCCTCCAAGAGAACCCCCGGAGACCCCCCCACGCAAGGCTCTAAGATGAGACTTTGTCGTCGTCGTCGCCGCCGCCGCCACCGCGACGTCGTCGTCGTCGTCGTCGCGCTGTCCTCGATCACTCGATCGTGAAAGCGTGGGCTCTACAGACCCCCAAGAAACCCTCCAAGAGAACCCCGAGACACCCCACGCAAGGCTCTAAGATGAGACTTTGTCGTCGTCGTCGCCGCCGCCGCCACCGCGACGTCGTCGGATCGTGAAAGCGTGGGCTCTACAGACCCCCAAGAGACCCTCCAAGAGAACCCCAAGACACCGCTCCACGCAAGGCTCTAAGATGAGACTTTGTCGTCGTCGTCGCCGCCGCCGCCACCGCGACGTCGTCGTCGTGGGCTCTACAGACCCCCAAGAGACCCTCCAAGAGACCCCCCACGCAAGGCTCTAAGATGAGACTTTGTCGTCGTCGTCGCCGCCGCCGCCCTGTCCTCGATCCCTCGATCGTGTAAGCGTGGGCTCTACAGACCCTCAAGAGACCCTCCAAGAGAACCCCAAGAGACCCCCCCACGCAAGGCTCTAAGATGAGACTTTGTCGTCGTCATCGCCGCCGCCGCCGCCACCGCGACGTCGTCGTCGTCGTCGCGCTGTCCTCGAGCCCTCGATCGTGTAAGCGTGGGCTCTGCAGACCCCCAAGAGACCCTCCCAGAGAACCCCCGGAGACCCCCCCACGAGAGGCTCTAAGATGAGACTTTGTCGTCGTCGTCGTCGCCGCCGCCACCGCGACGTCGTCGTCGTCGTCGCGCTGTCCTCGATCACTCGATCGTGAAAGCGTGGGCTCTACAGACCCCCAAGAGACCCTCCAAGAGAACCCCGAGACACCCCACGCAAGGCTCTAAGATGAGACTTTGTCGTCGTCGTCGCCGCCGCCGCCACCGCGACGTCGTCGTCGTCGTCGCGCTGTCCTCGATCACTCGATCGTGAAAGCGTGGGCTCTACAGACCCCCCAGGAGACCCTCCCAGAGAACCCCAAGACACCGCTCCACGCAAGGCTCTAAGATGAGACTTTGTCGTCGTCGTCGCCGCCGCCGCCACCGCGCGTGGGCTCTACAGACCCCCAAGAGACCCTCCAAGAGACCCCCCACGCAAGGCTCTAAGATGAGACTTTGTCGTCGTCGTCGCCGCCGCCGCCCTGTCCTCGATCCCTCGATCGTGTAAGCGTGGGCTCTACAGACCCTCAAGAGACCCTCCAAGAGAACCCCAAGAGACCCCCCCACGCAAGGCTCTAAGATGAGACTTTGTCGTCGTCATCGCCGCCGCCGCCGCCACCGCGACGTCGTCGTCGTCGTCGCGCTGTCCTCGAGCCCTCGATCGTGTAAGCGTGGGCTCTGCAGACCCCCAAGAGACCCTCCCAGAGAACCCCCGGAGACCCCCCCACGAGAGGCTCTAAGATGAGACTTTGTCGTCGTCGTCGCCGCCGCCGCCACCGCGACGTGGTCGTCATCGTCGCGCTGTCCTCGATCCCTCGATCGTGTAAGCGTGGGCTCTACAAACCGTCAAGAGACCCTCCAAGAGAACCCCAAGAGACCCCCCCACGCAAGGCTCTAAGATGAGACTTTGTCGTCGTCGTCGTCGCCGCCGCCGCCACCGCGACGTCGTCGTCGTCGTCGCGCTGTCCTCGATCCCTCGATCGTGTAAGCGTGGGCTCTACAGACCCTCCAGAGACCCTCCAAGAGAACCCCAAGAGACCCCCCCACGCAAGGCTCTAAGATGAGACTTTGTCGTCGTCGTCGTCGCCGCCGCCGCCACCGCGACGTCGTCGTCGTCGTCGCGCTGTCCTCGATCACTCGATCGTGAAAGCGTGGGCTCTACAGACCCCCCAGGAGACCCTCCCAGAGAACCCCAAGACACCGCTCCACGCAAGGCTCTAAGATGAGACTTTGTCGTCGTCGTCGCCGCCGCCGCCACCGCGCGTGGGCTCTACAGACCCCCAAGAGACCCTCCAAGAGACCCCCCACGCAAGGCTCTAAGATGAGACTTTGTCGTCGTCGTCGCCGCCGCCGCCCTGTCCTCGATCCCTCGATCGTGTAAGCGTGGGCTCTACAGACCCTCAAGAGACCCTCCAAGAGAACCCCAAGAGACCCCCCCACGCAAGGCTCTAAGATGAGACTTTGTCGTCGTCATCGCCGCCGCCGCCGCCACCGCGACGTCGTCGTCGTCGTCGCGCTGTCCTCGAGCCCTCGATCGTGTAAGCGTGGGCTCTGCAGACCCCCAAGAGACCCTCCCAGAGAACCCCCGGAGACCCCCCCACGAGAGGCTCTAAGATGAGACTTTGTCGTCGTCGTCGCCGCCGCCGCCACCGCGACGTGGTCGTCATCGTCGCGCTGTCCTCGATCCCTCGATCGTGTAAGCGTGGGCTCTACAAACCGTCAAGAGACCCTCCAAGAGAACCCCAAGAGACCCCCCCACGCAAGGCTCTAAGATGAGACTTTGTCGTCGTCGTCGTCGCCGCCGCCGCCACCGCGACGTCGTCGTCGTCGTCGCGCTGTCCTCGATCCCTCGATCGTGTAAGCGTGGGCTCTACAGACCCTCCAGAGACCCTCCAAGAGAACCCCAAGAGACCCCCCCACGCAAGGCTCTAAGATGAGACTTTGTCGTCGTGGTGGACGCCGCCGCCACCGCGACGTCGTCGTCGTCGCGCTGTCCTCGACCCGTCGATCATGTAAGCGTGGACTCTACAAACCGTCCAAGAGAACCCCAAGAGACGTCGTCGTCGTCGTCGTCGTCGTCGTCGTCGTCGCCGCTCCCAGAGCCTTCGGGGCCTCTCCTTGGCCCTCCTACGGAAAATCCTGCAAAACCTAGCGAATTAGTCGAGACATCCTCGAAATTCCTGCGCGCTGGACGCGGCACGCGCGAGACATCCTCGGAATTCCTGCGCGCGAGTCTTCCTTTGCATCCAAGTCCTGACCGAACTGATCTGGATCTGAAGCTCGAGCTTCCTGAACACATAGTAGCTGCCCCAGAGCTAATTGACAGGGGGACATGCCAGGAGGACGCGCCGCGAAACGTCCCCAGGGACGCGCCAGGCGACGTGCCAAGGGACGTGCCAT